TTGAAAACACTTCTTAAACTTCTAGGAAAAATAGTTTTCCCCCCTCTTTTTCTCTCTTGGAAACTCTTTCTTTAGTATGTAAAAGCTCTTACTTTTGGTGTGAGAAAAAAATGAGTGAAATGAGGTTTCTATTTATAGGTAAATATCTTATAACCTAAAGCAAATGAAGAGTCAAATTTCATTTAAGAGAGAGAACATGGGAGTCATTTAAATTTGAGGTTAAATGCTTCAATTTAGTGGGGTTTTTATTACCAAAAACGTGGGTGGCCCTTTGAGAAAATAATTGATGAAAATAAATATTTAAATTCTAGAGAAAAACGAGAATTTTCATTTCAGGCAGTTTCGATCGACCGATTGACACTGCACAGCTTTCAGTGTTTCTATCATAACTTCTTCTCCCGATATCTGATTGAGGTAATTCAAAGTGCATTGGAAAGCTAACTCAAAGAGTTACAACTTTTATTTAGATATCATTTTCCAAATCGAATATTTCCTATGTCGAAAATGGGTCTCAAATGAGACTAAAAAGCTGAAGTATACTTTAGTCATCCAATATTTATGTCTTAGTGCCACTAAGGTATCTAGAATTATTTGGGGTTCTACAGTTTTTCATTTTTTCTTTTGGGAACAAATATGTAATTTGGAAAATAAAAAAGTAATTTTTAAATCATGAATTATATATAAAAAAACTAGGTAAAAAATTTAAACCCTCCTCCTTTATCCAGGCTTGGGACCGGCTACTTAAATTTAGAGCATGCGGAGTTAAAAATTGTGTTGTTTGTTTGTTTATTCGTGTACAATTTTTTAAAGAAAATTTAAAACAGAATTAAAAATTATTTTTTCAAGCAACGCTGCGTTACCCCTTGCATATAATTTTCGAAGAAAATCCCTTCTAAAAATTGAAAGGATAATCGAATGCCCTTTCAATTGTCAGAAATCTTCACTTCGAAAATTATATAGAAGTCTTTCACTTCAAATATTATATATAATCTTCGAAGTGAAAGACTTCTGACAATTGAAAGGGTAATCATTCGATTACCCCTTCAATTTTCAGAAGGAATTTACTTCAAAAATTATATGCAAAGGTACGCACAGCGTAGTTCGAGAAAAGAATTTAAAATGTAGATATAATCGTAATAATAGTATCAAGTACTAACAAAAATTTAACTAAATTGGTGGAAAGGAATTTTTTTTTATATTTTTTAAACTAAAAGAGAAAAAAATAAAAATGAAATCTTAATTTTTTTTTTATTTTTCTTTTTAAAATACATAAAATATAACCCTCCTCCTTTATCCGGACTTGGGACCGGCTACTTAAATTTTCAGTGGACGCAGTTAAAAATTGTACACGAACAATTTTTTGTTGCATGTACAATTTTTTAAAGAAAATTAAAAGTAACGATAAGAAAAGAAAAGTTTCATCAATATAATTAAATCAAATATCACTTACTTGACGACATGCAATTTCGACATATTTATCTTGTAGTCGAAAATGAGCGTCCTGTCAATCCTTAACGCACATTAACGCTTCTAAAATATCTTCTTTCAGTCGGCTCCTGACCTCGCTCAAAACTCTTTACCTGCACTAAAAGCAGACTCCGAAGCAACAGTGCTAACCGGAGGTGTCAGCAGATTTTTTGCAATCGCAGATATAACTAGCCAACGTCGTTCATACCTTCGCCAGAATTCAATTATTTCGTCTGAACTTTTTTTAATTGTTTTATCTATTGACATATTCTGGTTGAAATAATCAATTAATTCAGCAAGCAATGTATTATGGTTTGAGCCCGTAAATGTATGATGAGAATGAGATACAGATGGTGACGACATGGCAGTGGTAGTGGCAGTGGTAGTAGATGAACACGTTGCAGATGAATCAAATCTATACGAATTAATGCCTTGAAATAAATTAAATATTTCTGCATCTTCTTCAATTTCAGTGGAAGGAGTAGGTGCAGATGATGCCCGACTAATATTGGTACCCATTCGGTTCGCATATAATTCATACATTTCACATAATATTTGCTCTAAATTTCTATATGTGATAGGTGTATTAAATGTTAAGGCGTTTGAAATTTGATCAATTATATATTTAGTTCCCGATAAATTATATTAGGGGTCCATCACGCATGCTAAAGGAAATAACATAGGCAAATCTTCGCAATATTCTCTAAATTTTAATTCCATAGCAATTATAATTTCACTAAAATCGGGGTCATTTCTGTATTTATGAAATGTTCTTACAATTATATAAAGACGTTTAAGCACCATACAGCTGGTGGGATAGTAAACGTCCAATAAAATCTTAGTGGTTTCATAAAAAGATGTCAAAATTTTTTTTAACTTTCAAAGTTAAATGCCAATTACGTTCAGTCAACATACCCTTGTCATCACTTCTAACATGTCTATTGTTATAAAAGTCAGTTATTAAATGTTCAAAACCTTCACATGACTTTAATAACAAGCAAGTAGAGTTCCACCTATGACCTACATCGCTAACAAATGTTTTAGCATTTTGCACTCCTATTTCGGCACAATAATTCTCAAATGCTTGTTTTCTACTTGGAGAGATTGTGATATATATTAGTTCATTCCTAATATTTTGAAGTTCATCCTTTATATATTTTAAACCATTTTGGACAATTAAATTCAAAATATGACATACACAACGAATATGAAACAAATACCCACCAAAATCAGGTTGTAGTACCCTATACAATTTTTCAGCAACTACTTTATTTACACTAGCATTATCGAAAGTAAATGAACGAATTTTACCTTCGCATTGATATTCTCTAACAATACTAATAATAGCATTAAATATATTATTTGCGTTGTGAGCAAATTCAATAATTCTAAAAACAATAATTTTTTTATGCATGCACCAAAGTGGGTCTATATAATGTGCAGTTGCAACTATATATGCTCTTTTATTAATCCCTTCCCATATATTTGAAGTTAAAGATATGACACCCCCATATTTTTGCAAATTCATAATTAATTATTGTTTTGTTGAAGTAAAATATTGTATTGTATCGGAATGAAGAGTGTTTCGACTTACCCCAACGTACCTTAGCTACAGATATTCTTTTACATACGAGACGTAGTGTTGGTTGTCAATCAATGCCAAAGGCAACTCAGCACCAGCAACAAGTTTCACCATTCCAGTTCAAGCTTTCTCCTCCGAATACACCCATGTGGATAGAGGTGCAGTAGAACCACCGGCGTCTGGACTGTCAAATTGCAATTGTGTTTGACAGCCTGGAATAAGTCCGTGTTTGGCCGCACATACTTTGTAATGACGGTTGAGATGGTTGGTACCAATTCCTCTTTGCCATGCCAATCTTTGTTGGCAGTATCTACATACTGCTTTGGATTCTTGGACTCCATTGACGATTTTTCCTGTTGAAATCAATTTAAAGTGATCCCAACAGTTTGCTTGTTTTTTCCCCTTTAGCTTTCCCCTCGCATCAAGAATGTTTAATTCGGCCTCTTCTTCCTGATCGTGTTTCGCTTCGGGGATGTCAATATCATCCAAATTAATTGGATAATTTGGATTGTCGCTTACATGATGATGAAGATCCAAATCTGGAATATCTTCAGGTAGGGATACGTCATTTAGACCTTCAAATTGATTCTGAAATTGACTTTGCGGTGTCATAGGCGATTCATTTCCTTCCACACCAAACAAGTTTTCGACAAATGAGAGTGGATCCATTTATTTAGTTGTAATAAGTAATAACTAGTAGAAGAATAATTGTATAAATGTAATGAGAAATGAAAATTAGATGAAATTTCAATAAATATAGTGAAAACTGAAAAATGAGAATTGGATATTGTATAAATTGTATATAAAAATTGCACAACTATCAACACAATACAAGAAAGTTGAGAGAGATAATTGAGAGTTGAAAGTGAATTGTAGAAAATTTTGTGGCTAAAAGGCACTATTTATAGAAGAAGAAAAGAAAAAAAAAATAAAATATATATACATAAGGACCAAAACGGTCATTGAAAAAATTCAATGACCGTTAACGGTAAAAAAAAAAAATTTAATTAGGGGACTGAAACGGTCACTGACTTTTGTCAGTGACCGTTGATAAAGTGATCGAAACGGTCACTTTTTAAAAAATGTGACCATTTCGGTCACATTTAAAAATGACCCCACGAGCTTGGGCTCGTTTGGAACGAGTCACGAGCTGGTTCCAAATGAGCCACGAGCTTTTTCAACGAGCCGCTCGCGGGCTCGTCGCGAGCGGCTCGCCCACCGAACTGGCCCGCTCGACTCGTGCTCGGGTTCGTGTTTTTACGAACCCGAGCCGTCCACGAGCTCCTTTTTCGCGAACCGAACGGACAATCCGACGAGCCGCTCAGCCTATTTGCCACCCCTAGTGCTTAGTTTGAAGCATAAGCCACCCAAAACATGCTCACAGGTCACAATACGCTCAATCTGAACCCTGTCGGCTTCCCCTTCCGACATACTGGTTACGACCACCTAGACGTGGGCAGATACCTTACCTTATCCTGAAAGTTCAACCCCCGGTATCCCCATTGGCTGGTCTATTGGCAGATTTGCTTAGTGAATTGACCAACTAATATTAATAAGAAAATTGCAACTAAGAGTCCTTTTGGCCTTTGGTTCCCAGCCTTCTATTTTCTACATTAAGGATCCTTTTGGGAACCTATCATTCAAATTAAGCATTAAATTTCATTCAAAACACAAAATTTCCCTCACACTAATTAAGAAAAAATACATAAATATAAGAACAAAATTTTGAAAAAAAATATGGAAGAACTTAAAAGTCAAAAAAAAACTAAACTTCTTGGCCTTTAAAGTCGCATAAATATGGATTATTGTTGGCTCTTCACTCCTTTGACTCCAATATAGGATTGTTACATCGTGGCGAGTGATTAGGTTGTGTCAAAATTCTTGTGATCTCAAACAGCAAAGGTGCTTCCCAAAAGGGTTTCTTTCATCTTGAGATCCTATCTTGTGAAACATCTGTTTCCTAATTTTCTCTTTTTAAAAAGAGTTGTAAATTCTTTTTAAAGACAGTAGTAAGCAGAAGGGTGACTAGATGGTAAGGGAGAGAAGGGAGGGAAATGAAGGGCGTGGCTGATTAATGGAATCTTGGGACGGATTTTTCTTTCAATTTTAAGATTCATTTTTATTATTATTATTATTTTTTTTTTTTTTTGGGTCTACCACTTTTTTCTAAACTATATAAAGATTACATCACGCTTGTGAATAAAGTTCTTCAAATCTACACATACACATATCTCAAACTGTCCCACTTCTCACTAGGTCTACCAAGATCAGAGGACTCTCACAATTGAACGTTTCTTAACTACACACAGCATGAACAAACTGTCAAAATCATCTTTATGTTCAATTGAGGCCACCTCCACTTATCAGTGCATATTCACATTTCTTATATTATCCATTCGAGTGTTGTAACACAATTATCTAACTTATGGATATTTTGCATTTTAAGAACCCCAACAGTCAATATCATAAAAAAAATGGCAAGACTAATAACTGATACATAAAACTGATTTTTTAACCTTATAGAGAGATCTTCCACCCTCTTCAACTCCTCATTTCTTGTTACTAAATGAAACGCAAATACTTAAAGCAACCACCTTTTGGGACAATATGATCCTTTGCACTGACTCCACTATTATCCATATTCCTACAATCAGCAGAAGGGCTTCCATGTGCTCCATCTCAGCCTCCTTAATTGAGAACCTCTAAATTCCAAAGTACTCCTTCAAGGTCTTAAATTATGATTTGATGACATCCGATTCTCATCTATCAAAACACTGTCATTCGTGACTACAATTTGTCAAGGAACCTCATTTTGGATGTCTCATAAGCTCAAAGATCTTAAGGCAGAGGATTGATGCCAGCCTCGGTGTAACGAAATTCTCTATTACTAATGCCACTTCTTATGCTCAAGACTGCTCCATCATACATATCCTATATAATATTGATATATTTAAATTTCTTGTGTATAATTATTCAAATTTGAAGATCCAATGAATTGGGTATTTGTATGAACATCCTGACCATTAGACCTCCTTGTAACATAGCCTACAGGTACTATATCTCCATTATCAGGCCTTTCACAAAGACATTCCCTCCTGTGCAAGGAATCCTTTTAGTCGATCACATTTACTTTTAACTCCTTTCAGTCTACTATGTCAGAAGCATGGACTTACGCCCCACGCGGTCGCGTTCGATCCATCCCGGTAGCGGCCGTAAAATAGCGTGAACCGCACGCTGCAATAGGATGGAATGGGCAGAATGCAGGCTGCCTAAAATGGTGCAACTTTCCAAGACTTTCATGAGGTTTTTCTAGGTCCCGACCCCGCCATTTTGGAGGAAAAATACATGAACCTGCAGCGGGATATTTTGGGGTGCAAGTAGGCAACTTGCACAACTTGTCCACTTGTGCCACTTGCAAGATATTATCAAAGATACAAGCTAAGCGCGAGTTGGCGAAGATATTATCAAAGTGCAAGCTAAGCACAAGTTGGCAAGAATAAATATCTTCTATGCAAGCTAAGATCGAGTTGGCGACAACTTGCAAGGAAAGTTGTAAACTTATCCACTTGATGACAACTAAGAACGAGTTGTAAACAACTAAGCATAGGTTGTAAAGTAAGGCCACTTGATCTTAAGGAGGTTTAAGTTTTGCCTATAAATAGAGGTAGAAGTCTCATTTGTAAATCATGTAGAGTTGAGTGAATTTATTCCTTAGAGAGATTGTAAAGTTTTCCCTTTCATTTATACAAAGAAAGTTTCCCGACCTTACTTGTTTTTCATATATCCTTTACTTCAAAATTCTCTTCTCAACGTGGGTATAATTTAGCCTCCTTGGTTAAATTATTTGTGAGCGTGAAAAGGCTGACTTAACGTTTTCTCGTGAGGTACGGGGATTGTCAAGCGTTAAGGCCGCACGGTTCTAGTTGTTCGGGTGTAACGAAACTAGGTCCGTGACAATGGTCTCCACAAGGGAAAGTCTAAAAGCCTGTAAAAGCAGATGGAAGTAGTTACCTTCACCCTTCCAGTTGCTAATCAAGGGATAGGAATATCAGACGCTGGGTATCTCTAAAACATTTAATCTTTTGATACTTGTGATAAATGTAAAAGCACAAACAGAAGGAAAAGAGTTTGGACACAGAACGATAAAGAAACAAATATACTGACAAGTAGAGAAGCATATCTACATGGGGTGAGCTAATCCACTTCACCTATTTAACATCAGCACCAAGGTCTTTTAGCCTTTGGACAAAATTGCAAATAATCTGAATTGGAGCAAGATCATCATCTTCTGAGCAAAAAATGACATATGGTGCCCCCATGCTCTGATATCAATCACAGTAACAGCAAATGATCAAGTATAATGATAGAAACGACTCTAAGTTATGTCTGATGGATGCTTACAACAGTGGAATACAGAGTCTGCCAATACTCAGCACGCTTTGATTCAAATCTGTCAAGAAAGAATGTATCCAGACTGGAAGAGAGGCCATTTGCAATCCATGATACTATGAGTGGAGGGCGAGACATTTTGAGAACAGTTGGGTGAAGAACAAAACGAGTACCCAAGTCACTTGTAAAATCTACTGGACTGGAATCAAAGATGTAGCCAGCAACACAATCTCAAACTAGTTGGTAGTCATCCTTCACAGGAAGAGGTCATCAGGTTAGCCAATCCTTTTAATAAAGTTTTCCATTTAGACAATACAAATGACTACTCATTTCTTGTAAAACAAGAATGTAGAGATCTATGTGAGCTATTTTATGTATGAAATTTGGCTACCATACACCACGGATCTTTTGTCCAAACTTCAAAGTGTTCCAAAAATAGTTGAACGGAATACATAAATCACAATACAGAAGCACACAAATCTGTAGGATGATTATATGCATCTTCCAAAATAGCATGATATTAGATGATTGGTGATAAATTAAAGTATACCACATTAGCTTGCTCTTCAAATTTACCCTCAATTATCTGCAGCCAAAAGAAATAGGATGAAACTGTACTTGAGAGTAATACATTTAAATAAATATATAAAAAAAAAATATTTAGCCACTGTCTCGTTTTGCTAAAAATCATATTTTTAATAGATTTTTATATAAGTGAGTTATTTGTCACTGACCTTATGTTTCTACCTTTGATTACTCACTGAAATTTAAGATATCGAGTTTTGATCACTAAACTTATCAAAGCATTGGACGTTACTTACTAACTTAACATTCGTTTCAATTTTTTGACGAAATTATTGACATGGCAATAGAATATATACGTGGCGCCTCGTCACACCGTTAACAAATTGTTAAGTCTTCGATTGCTCACCAAACTTTGAAAAATATCTTTAATTACTCATTAAACTTTGAAAAACATCTTCAAGTACTCACTAAATCTGAAAAACGTCCTCGATTGCTTACTAAACTTTTATATGGTCAAATTTTGGCCACTAAACTTATAAAAATGAAGTCAACCTATTGTTCGTTAAAAAATATATAGCATAATCTCATAGGTCGCGTAAAAGTGATAAAGTGGACAAACAAATTCGAATTGTCGATTCAAAGAGAAATGATTACTCAATTACATAATAGTTAACTTTAATTTTAACATTTTATTGTAGAATCTTAAGTTATTTTCATCATTTGAAAAATTCATATTTATTGTATGTTTCGTTGTTAAAATTATATTAATATTTAGATTTTGCAACTAAACGCACAATAAATTTAATTAAATGAATTTCATTCACTTTTTGTCCTTCCAAAAAATGGATTGTGTTTCTTTACAAAAATTCAAATTTTAATTAACTTTATTGTGTGTTTCGTTGTAAATTCCATTGAATTAAATTTTTTATGTTTCGTTGCAAAATTCAAATATTAATTTAATTTTAACAATGAAACACACAATAAATTTGAATTTTTCAAGTGATGAAAATAGCTTAAAATTCTACAAAATATATTAAAATTAAATTTAGCTAATGTGTGATTAAGTAATCATTTCTCGTTGAATCGTCAATTTGAATTCGTTTGTCCATTTTATTACTTTAACGCGACCTGCGCGATTGTGCTACATATTTTTTAATGAACAATAGGTCAACGTCATTTTTATAAGTTTAGTGGCCAAAATTCAGCCACCTCAAAGTTTAATCAAAGACATTTTTCAAAGTTTTGTAAGTAATCGAAGACGTTTTTTAAAGTTTAGTAAACAATTAAAAATATTTTTCAAAATTTGATGAGCAATCAAAGACGTAACAATTTGTTAATGGCGTGACGAGGCATCACATGTATATTTCGCTAGCCACGTCACTAATTCCATCAAAGAATTTAAACAAATGTTAAGGTAGTGAGTAATGTCCAATGTTTTGATAAGTTTAGTGGCCAAAAATTGACATTTTAAACTTCAATGAGTAATCGAAGACGAAGACATAACTTCAGTGACCATTGGGACTATTAGCTCGATATAAGTTGTTGAAATGTGTGATTTAAATGTAAACAAGAGTTGTGGGTCCATGAAAGTGGGGTTAAAACTAATTCTTGACTTCGATTTAGATTTTTATGAAATTTTTAGCTCAACCAAAAGGGACCTAATCTTAACATTTTCACCGTAGAATGATATCCACCTTAAGAAACTTATACATGCAAGCCTTTGGGCCACCAGAAAAAAGATGCAAAAACAACGGGCCATGGTCTGATTTTTAGCTCCTTCATAAGAAAATAAAATCAACACAAGTGTGAGAATAACTCAAAATAATCGCTAACCCAACAAATTTTAATCTCGTTAAACCAACAAGCCTTTCACTTCCTTTTCTTTTGGGAGAAGAGACAGAAAAATGAAGACAATCACAGTCTCTAAACAATTTTATCTTACTAATGTTAAAGAAGCTGCTCCAAGATTAAGTCAATCCACATAAGATAAAACAGAAAATTTGAACCAATTTATAAATATCAGATTCTCATTGTTTCTTAGAAAAGCTCTTATCTTTTAAACAGGTCTAAAATTTCAATCTTAGGAGCACTATAGCCTAAAAGATGTGTAGCAGATACAACATGAGTTGATTTTTCAAAGAGATTTTTAAATAGAGAGAGTGAACATAGATGTGACACTGTGTAGAAGAGCTAGATAAGGTAGATTCGATTCATGACTAACCTGAACAAGATCACTGACAATTTCTAGTGCCAATGATGCAGCTTTATCAGGAAAGAATCTGTAAGCATAACCCCCACAAAATTGAGAATTAAATTATATGTTACTAAAACTTACACACTAGAATATGCTTTGGGTAAATTGTATGTCCGTCCCAAGTATTCATCTTGAGTTTAAAAGCAATTGTAACAGTTTGTCTCCTATGTGGCACTTAAATTGATCAAATTTCCCTTCCAATCTAATGTCAAAATTTGCTTTTAATTTTCTCAGGATAGTATGCTGTCCATACTTGAGATATCAACATAGGTATCCAAATAGAGAATATGTGGATCAACATAAGAAGAATTTGAGTCCAATAACAAGAAGACCGTGTCTTGTTACCACATTCTTTATGAAGCAAGTTCATTATTAATCCATTGGAGATCGTGAAAGTATAAGTTTGAATTTCCATATGGAAAAGGGGCTCCCTTGACAATATGTTCTGCAAAGTACTAGTTTTCTTTTCTCCCCAGTGTCCAGGTAACAGATACGCTGAGACCTTTTTTCAAATTTCATCATCCTAGACTGAAAGATAATACGGAGCAGCATTTTAGCCAATCCAGTTTACTTTCCTCATCTACTTAAAACACGCAAACCAGACCTAGAATCAGATGTAAATGTTTACCAATTCCTCTAAGAAATAGACAATGTTAGTCCATTCCTATAGCAAGGTAGGGGAATTTATTTTTCATAGCATAAATCATGAAAAGCAACATGGAGATGTCAAAAAACCAGCATTCATCATTCAAACTTACGAAATTCGCTGAAGAACAATCATACTACAAGGATAATTTTTCATTAAAATGAGATCAAAATTTATTCATAACAAGCATCCATGTAGATTCATAGATCCAATAGTTTAAGCATTCATTTCGTTTCTCCTAAGTCACAATAAATGCAATCTTAGAATGAAACATAATGTAGAACAGTAATTCCACCAGAAATACAAAATGATATTCTGCACATTTAATATACAGCGTGTCACTACCAACCAAAATTACATTAAGGGGCAAGAATATTCAACAAATTGATTATAATGCTCCATCAAATTCATTTTCCTTTCTATGCATACTTAACAAAACATTCAAATTCATGAACCTTATCAACCCCAACTACCTTATCCATTGCTCAGCGACAAACCCAGAATTTAGAATTGAAGTAGGAGGACATCCACAAGGCTCCCCACCCATGTGGGACAACTCAGATAACAGAAAACATACCAAAGTTAAAAATAAATAATAAATAATAATAATAATAATAATAAATCAGAACCAGAACCAGAATCCCAAGTGTGAAATTGATGGGAAAATATGAAATTGAGCTTACAAATTGAGGAATTGGGAGTGGCAAACTAGGGAATTCCAGCCAAGGGAGGAATAAAGATCAACATATTTCTTCTGTCCTGACTGGACATCCATGCAAGCACCACCACCATTCCTTCCACTTTCCCTCTCTCCTTTCTTCCCCAATAATTTCTTCCCCGAATCCCCACATCTTTGCCCTTTCCTACCTCACTTTCCACAGGGAAAAACAGAAGCCAAGAAAATGAAACAAATTTTCTCGGAAAAAATAGTCTTTCTGTCCGTTAAAGTGCGAAATTGTCTAGGGCGACTGAGTCACTGACAATGAAAGGGAGTTTTCTTCTGAGAAAAATTGCATCCTTTTATACATGGGGTGCCATGCCTCGGCAAAAGGTGGGATTTTTTCCCTCTAATTATTGAAGAATCATGCTAAACTCCCTTGCTCACTGCTCACGGGGTGGAGATCACGAGCGCACGTTTTTTA